GTACATTGAGGGATTGTGAGCAGAAGTCTTCATAGAAAACCATGGCACTGTATGCTGTACACAATCCCTCCTGCTCTTATTCTTGGGGAATGTAGGCAACTGTTTTCTGGATTGCTACATGAAAAGGAGTGTTCCAAAGGGTGTCCTTCCCTCCAACATGCTCCTTAAGTCCTGGTCAGGCTTATGTGAAAGTGAATCCTGTCTTCTGCAGCGCTGTAGGTATTTAAATCCAGAATTCTTTCCATTTGCAGCTGCTGAGTGGGAAGGTGATGCCACAGTTGGTCCTCTGTATGTGCTGGGAGAGCAGGCTGTTGACCGCCTAGCAGAGGTGAAAGGTCAGAGGTCTCTGCTGAGAGCACAGGAGGAAGGTGATGCAACAGGTAGAGGAAGCCTTTAATACCCAACCTGTATACTGACTGGAGTCTCAGTGGGACTGAACGGGTCTAAAAGCATCTCTATGGTAGAGCAGTGTAAGCTAACCTGTCCTCTCTTTCCAGGAGTGTCTGCTGAGCCTGTGATCCTGGCTGCTCTGGGGGCAGTGGTGGGGCTGGTCTGTGTGGCTGCGCTGGGGCCTGTCCTTTACAGGAGACTGCAGAGTAAATCCACTGAGCTGACTGTGGAGAAATAAAGGAGGGATTGGAAACTGTCTCTCTGTGTGATACTTGTTCCTTTCTTAATCCAGTGCAATAGATCTTGACACCTGCTTATTGCGCTGACCTCTCGTGTCCTCATGCTACCCTGTTCAGTGTCTTTGCCACAAGCACTGTGGGCAGAGGGTGGGCTTGGGCTGTTACTGCAGTGGCTGTCAGCTAGTCTGTCTGCCTTTCTTGTGCAGATGCTAAGCATTAAACTGCAGCTCCACTCTGTAGAGTAGATGCTATGGGTGGGGAGCTTCTCTGCAGCTGATGATGGCTGTTTCACTGTTCATTGCTGCTGTAGTACTCACGGGAGCAGCCTGGACTCCAGCCTGTTACAGGTCCCTGCCAGCAGCACATGGACGGTTGATTTTGCTTCTAATTCAGGTTCTAGGTGACACGGCATCCTTTGTGAAGGGTAGAGGAGAGCCACAAGGCAGCCACGTTTCTGGTGTTGCCATGTGGGGCTCTTTACTGTCACTGAGACACCTGATATGGTTCTCGTTTTTTGTTATGGAGTTACACGCTTTAAGGGATCTGACTTTTTTTTTACTTCGTTATGAGGTGAAAATGTTTTGAGCTCGGTACCGATTGGAACTGGTGTAGGACTCCGGAAAAGAGGTTAATCAGAAACGGGGAAAGGCGCGCGCGCACACACACATGGGGACAGGGATTACAGCGCTACTCCTACTGTACACTACCAGCCAGACACTACACCTACACTAACAGACACGAAGGGAAGAGCCTGTTTCCAGCCTCCGTCCCACTATATCCAGTCCCCTAGTCCCGCCCCCAAGCGCTCTTCCTAGCCCGCCTTGCGTGCGCATGGCTCTATAGTATTATCAAACTAAGTGTGTGGATGGAGTTTAGATTTTTCTAAACAGTATTGTACTTAGGCTTTCGTTCTAATACACAGTACAGTCTAAGACAAGCGCCTAAACAAAATTAGCTTGCATGAGCAGAAGAGATGTAAACGAAGGCTGAATACTGCGGCTCCAGCTTCCTGTGTCTCTCAAACATGATGCATCATGTTGAGATGCGAGTGGAAAATTCCTTCTGCTACCTCTTTCTGTTGCAGCTGAGGATTATACTAATGTCCGAAAATGGCCCATTAGCATTGAGATCGTAATTTGTTTCTGAAGCGTAGAAAAGAAAATCGGGATAAGAGATCTCGCCGAAACCAGCCATTGTAATACTGCATAAAATGTAATCATTTGTATTTAATTTTGTTTGGGGTCCGTTACATCCACGTAACTAACAAACGGTAGACATGGCCCATTGTCAAGCTAGAGACGTTGACTATT